ATGTAAGTACAAGAGTATAAACAGGCTTTACATTAATATGTCAGAAAATAATTTTTATCACACAAATTAATCACATAATTTGTTAGATTTTGTCGCATCATAAAGAATATCTAATTAAATAGAAAAAATGAAATAGATAATATATTCTTGTCTTATGTAATATGTATGCTAAAAATGCCTTTTTGTTGTTTGTTCACTTTTATTTTATTTTATAAAATATATGAATAATATTTATTACTTGCTGATTTTACCTTTTTATATAATTAATAAGATTATACATGTATATTTAATAAGTAAAATAAAAAATTGTGAGTTTGTGAACTTAAATTAAGTCTGCTATACTTTTAGTGGGTCATTTATGAATGTAAAATAAAATATCGTTGCACTAAATACTTATCTAATAATTGTATTCAATCAAAAATGATGACAAGAAACTTGATTAAAACAGAAAAACAACAATGAATATATTAGTTAGCATAATAAAGAGATATTTATTTTCTTATAATATTACCATATATGATCAAAAGTAAGAAACACAAATATGGCTCTTCAAAGATCGAAATTGGAAGTTTCTTATTTCCAGGACTTTTCTAAAAGAATGAAATAACAATACCATAAGAATAATAACAAGAAAATATAATAAAAGATATAATGAAAGAGAATGAAAATGTAATTTTTTTGACACAGATTTATATTCAGGAGTTCTTATGTTCGGTCATATACTATATATTTATAATATCAATCATCTACAAATTAATATTATCTAAAAATAAATAATAACTAAATTATAATATTATAATAAGTTTGTTAAAAATCATTCTTCTAAGTATAGGAGATACGACAGTATTTCAATAAATATATTATATTCTTTTTTATGAAGATATATTGGATAATAAAATAATGGGAAAACGCCAATTTGGAAAATGATGAAAAATTAAATTAGGAAATCCATATTATGCTTGGAATATCAGACATAATTTTATATATATTCAGCCTAATTGAAAATTTACGGACTTAATAAGCCGAATATTTTATTTTGATTAATTGAATTGCAATATTTGATTCCTGAAAATCATTTAAGATATTTATTTTCAGCAATAAATTAAAGCGTATGTCTTATTTATTTATGAAGACGATTGGAATTCGAATTTGTATGTAGATAAATAGCTGATTGCATATGTTAATTAATCTTAATTTAATAATAATATTATTATTATCTGTATAATAAAGTATTACTAAGTATATATTTAATAGAAATAAAGCAAATCTTACCATTACTTCACATACATAACCTTTAAAAGTTATATTGGTTTACGTAGAATCCTCATGCTTAGTCCTTTCAACTAGCAACCCTTGTGATTAGACAATTATTTGTTTGGCAATTGCGTTTGTTACAAAGCATCAACAAATCTTTTCTTTATGAAATAAAGTACATGCTTGGAGAAGTATAATATTTGAAAAGTAAATTTGAATTACCTTTATTTGATTATACACAGTAACTTCAAATTTTGCGAACAAGTGGTTTTTTCCTTCGTTCTACAATGTTGATCTTGATCTTTGTTAGTAGGATTATTTTGACTTTGGTGCAGTTCTTTTGTTATGTCTTAATATTTACTTTGTTAATTAGTTTTAATAAGTTTAGTTAATATGTTTTTGAAAATGATTGTTCCTATTATAAAGTCAATATCATATTCTATATAAAGATAGCATGCGTACAATGACTCTATGAAAAAAAGAACTTGGAATTTTTTTTGGAATTTAGTATAACCAAATTTTCCAGAACTAGCCACAGAACTGATTCCGTATCAAAATATGGAAATTTTTCCTGTATTCCGAAACAATTCTGAAAATGATTTGAAATAAATTTCATATTAAAATACGGAATTTTTCAATTTCGAAAATAATTTAGTAATAAATCCAAAGCAAAATACGGAATTTTTTCAATATAAATCATTTTTTTAATATAAATATATCATTACATCAAATATCATATTATAGTAACAATAACTTTGATTCAAAAAACAAATAATCTCTTTTTCTTCTTGACTTCATCTTCAATTTTAAACCAGTTTTCGCAACTTGAACATTCTTTTCTTTAAAAGTAGTATTATGAGAAGGACTAGTAGAGGTGTAACAAGAAAGAACTAAATAGAAGTATCATTTTTTGACCATTCTCTTATAAAATAAAAATTTAATATTAAAATGTAATAAGTATGATTATTAATATCTAGACTTACTTAGATTGTGATGTTTTAAATGGACTTTATTATTTTGCTTCTTTAAGACTTGCAAATGGATAATTTCTAGAGATAGGCAAATGCGCGCATAATACATCACTATATGTACTATGTGCACTATGTATATATGCATAGTATATACATGCATAATGATCTATATGTACATATATAGTAATCAAATATATGTTGTGAATTTATAAAACTAACGATGATTTTATTTTCTATAACTATTATATACATTTATCAATAATTATCACTATCACTTGATGTTTCTAATATATTATTACTATTATCTGATATATTAAATTATTCATTATCATTATCATCCTGATATTCACTTTTATTATTATCCTGATATTTGCTTTCATCACTTTCATTACCAGCATAATATTAATTGATACTTATTTCATTATTAATACTTTTTTGATAATTTTTTTTGATTATCTGGAGAGGTTTGTAATTTATAATTACTACAAATATAAACTAATTTAAAAATGTGCTTACTACTTAACCAATTTCTTTTTTATTAAGAAATATTTGCAAAATTTAACCAGTTACATTCAGAAGTTGCAGATTATATTGAAATTGTTAAGATATGTTATGCTAATTATATTAATTTCATGCATTTATTCAATAAACAGGTTCTTGCTTCATCCTCCCTTTTTGGGAAAAAAAATTATATTAATTTAGGCACTGCTTGTGCAAAATTTTTAATTTATTAAGTAATTAAATTAATATTATCAATACACTTCCATATTAATATATTACTGAAAAGATCTAATTTTGCATTATATTATATAAGTTGACTTCTAGATAAAATGATATTAAGTAAACTTATATTAATAATTTCTGAATTTCAAAACTCATACCAAAAAATAATTATTTAACTTTAATTGAAATATTTGAACATATATATAAATGTGACTTATATCAAATTATTGAATTATTACATTAAGATTTATTAATTTTTACAGTATTTATATTCTGTATATTATTATTAAAATCTAGCAATATGACTAATTTAATTAAATATTCCTATATAGAACTTTAAGAATAAAGATTTAAATATTTATAATTATCATTATACATATATTTTGTATTAGTATAAATATGTTTGTTCATATTATTCATTAAGTATAAATACATTAATTAGTAATGATTTATGAACTTAATTATATATATAATTATATATAAAATTTATAATATCAGTTAGCTATATATATAATTTGCATATATACAGTAACTGTCAAAAGTTTTGCATTACATGAATAAAAAAATAAAAAATGCAATATTTTATGTTTCATATGTTATTTATATGTGAAATCAAGTGTATTCAAAAAAGAAGAATCTTGATTATCTTTAAACTCGATATAGATCACAATATATTATATTCATTATAATTTTGTATTTATTTCTTTTCAAAAGTGGTGATGTATTACTTTTGATCAATAATCTATTTAAACGTAAAACTATATAAAATGTACAAATTTCATAACAAATCTTATTTTATATGCTATATAAAAATTATACCTACGAATATAATCTTTTATTTTATTTTAAAAAAATAATAATTAAATCAATATAGGTCACATTACTATTGAACAAAGATTACGAATCTCCACTCTTCTTGATAAAGGATTTTTCTCCTATAATATTACATCAAAAGAAAATGTCACACAATCTTCTATTATCTGTCTTAAAAAAAACTTGAAATAACTGATTTCATAAAAGATTTACCAAAATCTAGTCATTCTTGAATTTTAACTGAGCATGATGAGCATAATATAATATGATTTATTTCAAGTGACAAATGTTTAAATGCTATGAAAATTCAAAAAAAATTAAAAAACAATAATAAAATTAATATAAGTGACAATACTATAAGAAGAACTTTACATAGACATGATTTATCTGTAAGTATTAAACAAAAGAAGTCTTATTTAAGTAAAAAATATTGAAAATTACATTTAAAATTTGCAAAAGAATATAAAGATTGGCAAGTAGAGAATTGGAATAAGATTCTTTGGTCAGACAAGTCAAAATTTATGTTATTCAGATCAAATAGTCATGAATATTATTGGAAATATAAAAATGAACCTCTTAATGATCATCTTGTAAAACCTACAGTTAAATTTGATGGTGGTAGTATTATGATTTGGGGTTGTTTTCTTCTTTTGGGGTTGGAAATATCATATGAATTTATGGTACTATGGATCAAGAATTATATCATGAAATATTAATGGATGACTTATTGAGAACTATTGAGTATAATGAATTGGATAAAAATAATATTATTTTTATACAAGATAATGATCCAAAATATATGGCCAATAAAATGATGGAATAGTTTGATAATAATGGAATTAATATAATGGAATAGCCATCTCAATTCCTTGATTTAAATCCTATTGAACATCTCTGAAATGAGATAGATAGAAATCTGAAATAATTGGATATCCCAATCAATAATTAAGATCAACTGTGAGATGCTATTCAATAAATTTGGATTACAATAGATAATAAATTTATAACTTGGCTAATTAAAAGTATGTTCAAGCGAATGGATAATATAATTAATGCTAAAGAAGGGTATACTAGGTGTAAAGAATATTTTATTTAAATTTTATTAGATTTTATTTGTTAGTTAATTGGCAATTGTATTTTAATTTTTATGTTTTAAATCAATCAAAAGAAATGTATTATGTAAAATTGCATAAATCTCTTTTCTTTTTGTTATTATAATAATAATTATATATAAGATTATCCCTGTGTATTTTTTAAGATTCACCAATTATATATGTTTAAATTTATGAATTTTCAATATATGTGCGCAAAGTTATTAAACTTTTAAATTTGTCATTTGGATGATGCAAAATATTTGGCAGCTACTGTATATATATACATATATATATATAATATGCATAAATATATCTTTACTAATTTCTTTATTAATCTCTTTAATTGAATTATCCTGGTCCAAATTTTGAATTTCTTCTAAAATTTAATAAAATTTCATATATATTATTAATATTAAAATATCAATAATAAAGAATATATAATAATAATTATTATCTTTAGGTTAATTATTATTATTTTCTTATTTTAATTTGTCAAGTTCTTCATTAGAAGATTTATCAGTATCTGAAAGATATCATATTTTAGTTAAAATTCCAACTAGATAATTTGATATTTGAATAAAATTTGTTATTTTTTTTTAGAAATTATATAATCTATTATTTTAATTTTTTTCTAATAATATACAAAATTAGCTTTCTTTCTAATATAATTTCATTTATAATATACTATAAAATAAATTATTATTAGTATATAATATTAGAATAATATTAAAACAATTTATCTCATCCTCTTATATATTGATGTAAAGCTTTTTCAAAAGGCCAATATCTAACATAATTATTAAAATAAGAAAACTTTTTGCTATTTTTCTTACTGACTTTACAAATATTTTCAAAAATTAAAGATAGTTTGGCTTTTTTATAATATTTATTTGCTTTTAATAAAGTTTTCACAAAATTCTAAAATAAAAAATTAAATTTTAAATTTATTTATTAAAAAAATTAAAAAAATATAGCTTTAAATCAAAAATAACTTTTTGATCAATATTTAAAATTGTGAAATATTGGTTTTAGTTAATTATTTTCTTGAGAATCATATTTTGATTTTTCAATTAATAAGTTAGAATCTATAGTAGCTTCAGAATTATTTGAATAAATAGTAGTAATTGAAGCAGATATAATTAAAAAATTAAAAGATGAAATATATAAATCAAATAATTATAATTTTTTATTTGCTTTGAAACATATAAAAATTAGATCAAAAATTTTTTAAATGCAATGATTATAAACAGATTAAAAATGGCTTCTCAATTAGTTATAGCTTACAGTAGCCAATTAGAGAGTTGTGACAGAATTGCAGTAGTCAATTAGAGAATTATGATAGAGTTATGACTAGTTGTGACTTCTATTACTAAAACAGATTATATTAATTTAAAGATAAATTAATAACATAATTTTTTAAAAAATTTATATCATATATTATTATTAATTAATAATGATATCATAATTAATATTATAATTATTATTATAATTAATATTAATTAAATAATATAATATATTACAATTATTATTATAATTAATATTAATTAAATAATATAATATATAAGTTATTATTATTATAATTTATAAATTTGATATTATTCTAATATATAAATTAGATATTATTATTCTGGTCTAGTTTTATAATATAGAGTTTCATATTACAAATTAAGAATTACTATATCTGTCAAAAGTATCTTTCTTTTTATAATTTCCAAATAATCATATGTATAATACTATAATTTGTATATATATAGTTTAGTTTAAATATAGATTACATTTATATTTTGAAGAGTTATATATTAATAAAAAACAAAAGCTTCATTATATTCAAAAAAAGATCTAAAAAAATGATTTTAAATTTAAGTTAATAATATAAAATCATCTTTTTACATACTTACTCAAAAGATTCCAAGCTATCAATACATAAGATAACTAAAATAATTTACTATAATAAAAAAACAGTCTGTTATTAGATTCAAAGATAGGAAGAAAATCAAGATTTGAGTAACAAATCAAAGACAGACTGACAAAGAATAATCATTCAATAATAAAACAAATAGATAATGAAGCTTGCAAAAAAAAATTGATATAATAGTTCCAGAAATTTGAAAGAAGATGATTAAGTAGAATATTAATATTAGTATATATATTATATAATATTATCTTCATAAAGAGAAAGATAAATATATAAGTAAGCTTTCAAAATTTCTTCTCACAGAGAAATATTAGCAAAAATAGCTATAATATATGAAAAAACATAGGAACTTTGACTAGAACATGATTTTTTTAAATAAAAGTATCTTTTATCTAAATCAAGATATAAAATAGGCTTGACAGTTTTCTGAAATGAAAAAGATAAGCCATTTCATAAAGTATTCTCTGAAGATTTATATATAGAAGTATTTTTCATCCATGAGCTTTGAAGAACTGATTTGCTTTATGAGGAATCTCAATATCAATTATCTGCTAAACATATATGAAATGGATCTTTTGCCTTCTGCTGATAAACTTTTTGATTAGAAAAATGATTAGTGGATCCTTCAAGAAGACAATAATCTCAAGCATCATTCAAAAATTATAAAGGTATAGAAGAAGAAAATGAATGTAAATGTTCTCCCATGGCTATTAATATCTTCTGATCAAAATCCAATTATAAATATCTGAAAGCTTATGATAAATAACCTGGCAAAAAAAAATTAGAACTGTTAAGGGTTTGAAGAGGGAATTGCAAAAAGAATGGTGTTATTTACCTAAAGAATATGTGGCCTGATTAGTCTCAAGTGTAAGAAAGCATATAGAAGCTTTAATTGAGACTGAGGGTGATTATATTATATACTAACCTTGTTGTATAAAATCAGAGCTTTTAAATAAAAAAAGATTTTTCATTTATATTATCTTCTTGTTAATCTAGGGTGAGAGGGAATACTTTTAATAGGCACTGTAATTGTGCAATAATTCCGAATCTGGATTCCAAACCAGTTCAGTAATGTACATTCTATCTAACATTCAGTTTTAGTTATGTGACTGTTCTATAATGTGCATTCTGCCAGTATTAATTGCATAACAATTCCGAATTTGGATTCCAAATCAGCCCCATATTTCATAAAAATTTTGGTCTGTACATATTTCGAAGTCATTCTGTATTTAAGATCAATTCTGTAAAAATTCCGGAAAAGATTTATATCAAAAATCAATATTGGTATCCTATTATTGATAAAAGCTACATTAAAAATTTTCTTATTTCTTTTAATTTATCTTTTCAAATTATAAAGATTCTCAAATATTTAGAATCATTTTTAATTATTTTAACGTAATTATTGTATAATAGAAGAAGATTTTTAAATGATATAAAAATATTTTATATAAATATTTAATTACAACTCTCTAATAATAATAACAGTCAAACTATCATGATTAGTATAATCTCAATCTATTCATCCAGCTTTGATTCTTTATAAGGATGCTTGTCAAAATTTATGAAATTTAACAGATAAAGCTGAAGACATATTATCTCTTAATATATACATTTATATCTTTATTATTATAGATTTTTGAATTTTGATAAGATGAAATTCTAAGTATATATTTAATATAATTTCTGAATTTTGATATTTTGGCATTTTTCAAAATAATTTGGCAAATATTCTTAATTCTCCATTAATACAATTTCAATTCTAGCATTATTCAGAAGATTCATCACAAAATTATATAATACATTCAAAATTTATATAATTAATAGAAATTTATAAAAATGTAAAATATAAAAAATAAATAATCTAATCCAGTTAATATACTAATAAAAAAATGGCATAAAGATAATTTTATATCTATTTTCTTTTTATTTTAATTTTTAATATATAATAACTTAAAAGATTTAGTTGTTGTCATTATAAAAATAATATTATTCTAATTATTGATAACTCCAAATGTATTAATTATACTAATTTAGATGTAGATTTTAAATGCTCTATAATTATTATAACTTTATTAATTGCTATATTTTTATTAATTGTTTATCCTTTTCTTATAATTCGGAAAATCTTATTCTGAAATATTGTTATATAAATTTTATTTTATTAAACCGATTACTATTTTATCTGTAAAAACAGAAGATTTACATTCTAATATTAACATCCATATGATTACGATAATAACAAACACTAGTTAAATATTAGTTAAATATGTAAAATTTGGGAAACATGTCATAAGAAAAAGTGAGGTGTAACCAGTTAAATATGATAATGCGCGGACTCATATCTAACTTCATCTTTTATCAAATAAATAATGATAATGCATTTTCATAATCCTTATAATAAATATAAGATTACGTATGTTAGTTTTAAAAATAAACTTATAAAATATACAGTATGACCTCTTTATAGTCACCTTTTATATTGCCACATTTTTCATTTTCCAAACAATTATAAAAATAAGAAATATGACCACCATATAATCACAACTTCTCTATAGTCACAATTCTTTGTATCCAGATGGTGTGACTATAGAGAGGATAGACTATACTGAAGTATGCTTTGCATGTATGTGTAATTAATTTAAATTGATACTTTTTGGTGATTACTGTAATGTGCGCGTGCGATGTACATTTTGCAATATCCCTTTTTAAACGAATATCAAATCATCTATTGGTATTCAGTTTTTCTAGAATCTTGATAAGAAATTGATAAATTTTTGGCGTGCCAGTCGAAAAATGTATTTTATAAATTATTTCTGTATGATAAATAATTAATGCTTATATTGTTCTTGCAAAAAATATAAAATAAATATTTAATTTGGTGCAAGAAGAATTGAAAACTATTATATCCGTGCTATTTATAAAATACATGCTAAAAATTTGTTAATAAATTTTGTCTACCAAACAAATATTATACTAGAAAAGCAAGTTTTAATATGTTTTAAATTTCAAATTCAAAACTTTATAAAAATATCTATATTTACAATTAAATAAATTATAACTTTTATGTTATACAAGTATTCGAAACCTTTGTTTAATTTCGTATTTAATGCATGTAGTTTCATCAGGAAGTTTTGGAAAAATGTTCAACGCGATGCAATCTAATAGAAAGTATCGCCCGGTTCAAAATACATAGTAAAAGTGGAAAACTTCAAGCTATATACATATTCATGTTATTTCTAGTAATTTATTTCTAAATTTTATATCATTTTAAAGCTCATGAGTTATAATGTTAGATAAATGATTCTCAACTGTGGACGAACCTAAAGTGCAAAGACCATTTTGATTATAAAGGAAAAGTATTTTCCCACGATTTTATATGAAAAAAATTTTTTCCACACTTTACATAAATTATCAAGCTATATAGATATTCATATTTCTATTAGTAATTATTTCTAACATTTATACCATTTTTAAGTTAATCAATTTTAGTTTCAAAAATGATTCCTAGCTGTGGACGACTTAAAATGCAAGAACTGTTTTGATTATAAAATCATGAAAAATAATTTATATGTATTTTATTATATAAATTAACTGTCCAAATGGTACAGTAATTATATGTCAAATGCCAACACTGTTCGTCGAAATCCCGCTTTACATAAAAATCGATAGCCATTTTGATTTAGAGTTAGATATTACATTACGAATATACTGTATAGCATTTTTTATTTGCTCATAAGCAAACTTTCAAGATTTAAATAAAGGTGAGTGTTACAATCGTCATTTTATTATAAAGCATTGATTAAAACATAAGAATCTTCTATTATCAAAAAATTCATTCTTCTTGTTGATTTTCTAAACTTTTCTAATTGACTACTTTGTTACATTGCATAAAATTAATATTTTCATGCTTGACAAATTTAAATACAAAAACAATTGTTTCTAAAAAAAATTCTTTTACATTGTCAAAAATCACAAGAAAGTTTAATACAAATTTCAAACTATTAACTATAATAAATGTAGAAATCATGATATTGATATGATATTAACAGTACTTGTTCTCGAGTACCATTATTTAATATCTCGATTGGACTATTTCCCGTTTATACAAACATTGCCATGAGCAGGATTCAATAGACCAACAACATTAACAGTATTTCCGCAGATACTAACGGGTACTTCTACAGGTACTTGAACGATATTGCCACTAACAACGCCAGGTTCAGCTCCATCTCTTTTTAACTTAGGAATCGGTGCAGCAGCAGCCATGGATAAAAACAGGATGGCAGCCAAATATGCGAGAAAACGATTTATGCAATTAAAATTCATTTTTGAGATATGCCTTGATTTCGAGAATTTTTGTCTTATTCATTAATAAATTTAAAAGTTTCTCTATTTAAAAGAAAGAGCAAATTACATGTACATCAATATACATGTATTTTCGTCTTACATGTATTTACTTCTGTTAAAGAGAAGGAGCACATATATATGCATAATACATGTACTTTTATTACGTTTTCTCTATGATGCACTATTTATTCTAACAAGAAAATAAAGAGAGTTAGTTACTTATTGTCCACAGCATCATCTTACATATACATGTATTTGATTATTTACACAAGCATAAGTTATTATCGTGCGTGCATACAAAACACGTATCCTATGCGAAAATAATAGGAGCGAGTTTTAGATAAATTCTATTGTATGAAGCATCTGTATGTATAATCACAGCATACTAACTATATATGGAACGATAATTACTAAATATTTTCTTAATAATAGTTATAATCAACTTGTTTGTGGAATTTTTTAAGTTTACTATTTTTAATTTATAATGTCATAATATGAAATTAGATAATTCAATCTTTTTTTGAAATATGTTACATATTCGCCATCTATTTGTTTGATCGAATTGTCACAATAATTGATAGTGAATTTGCGCATGATGTTTATGATTTGGACGATTTGGCCCCCCGGAATATTTGAGGATGTATGCACACTAATTTCTCAAAAAAAGTGGTGCCGGATTTTCTAATTACACTTTTTCTTTACTTGGTGGATTCCATTAAAATTACAGTTTGGAATTAATTCTTGTGGAGTTTGTAGTGTTGGAAATCGTATGTAAATGGTTTGCATTTATCCAAAGATATAAATATTTTCTCGAATGACTCGAACGGACGTCTATCACAATAATTGAACATCGTATCGAATATTGTAAAAGTAATTAGGTATTGGAATTTACATTACGTATTCGTAATTAGTTTAAGGAATGGGGATTAATACTAAGGAGGTCTATTATAAAATGGATGTTAGCTAAATTTATAATTATTCTTATCGATTATATTTAGATCCGAGAACGTAAGCTCGTTTTCTTACTTGTATTTTATTTAGTGAGGAGGTAGTCGAATGTAACTTTTCATTGATCGTGAATTTAATTAACTACTTCTGAAATCTAAGAACTTTGTAATGATCGAGATATTCTGGATGTATTTGTTTCTTACGGAAGTCCGAATGTTGATAAACTTTTCAATTCTCATATTATTAAAACTTTCATACGTCCGTGGTTTTATCGTTTTATTCTTTGAGTCTTTTGATCAAATATTAATAAATTATTACAAATACATATTGATGAAAAACATCAAACAATCCAGAGGAGCAAAATTGTGATATTTTAATATGAAAAATCAAACTGTATATCACAAAAATATTAATTGTTCATAAACAGTTATAACAAACCAAAATATTACAAACGTGTTTCGAAATTTTTGTTGCTACAGTCATTAGTAGGATTCATGCATTAATTTTCGCAAATTCATCCATTTCAACATTTTATAAAAATATTAGATGTTAATCTTTTCCGAGTTCGTATGTGCAAAGTTAAATAACCAATGAAGTACTTATTTACAAACTCGATTAAACACAATACATAATTATAAACAGATTTGAGTTTAGTTTCAATTACTCATAATAAAATATATTATATAGCCCGTTTTTGTTACACGGTTTATTATCATCTTTTACTTGTCAATACTTTGGATAAATCAATATTATATAAGAGTTTATTATAAATTATTAATAGATATAAAAATTGTGGCAGATTCGAATGTACGTGTATTAATCTGTGTGTTGCATTAGCTTGTAAATTCACAACATACCTGTATTAGATTAGAATTTCCAATAAAATCTGGATTTAAAAATAAATTAGATTTATATAAATTTTAAAACGGGATTCTGTATTGAAAACTATGATATCGACTAGTATTAAAATTGAAATATGATAATAAGATATATTTATCGCATCTAATTAAACTTTAATTTTAAAATACTAATAGATTCAAATTTAAATATACATGATAATAGCACTATATGTACTGTACATTATTTAACTGTAATTTGAATATGGTCTAGTTCGGTCAAAACGAAAGAAAACTCAATAATAAAATACGGCAATAAAATTTAATAAAATACGGCAATAAATTTAATCAATAATAAGGATTATAGAAAATATAAAACGAAATATTAACAAATTTAATATGATATTTTGAATTTGAAAAAAAGTTGATAAGTAACAATAA